TAAATACACAAGGGGATGGTTGAAAGGATCTATATTAGTGAAAGTAGTCGAGAAAAAGGACATTTCAGAGGTTGATAGTAGCTTGAGTAAATATAGGTTTAAGATTTAGTAGATGTACCTTAAAATCAAGGCTGATATATATTGAAAAAGCAGCTAACAATAACACTGGTAATGTTTTATACATTTCTATGTAAGGCTGGTAAGAAAGCTTATCACTTGCCAGCAGATTTCCGGGGGAAGTATGGTGAACTACCACATCTCTATATGAATGGAGATGATTACCAAGGCGCAGACTGAAGAACAGGTGAGTTGATTGGTTCTAAGGAACTTCTCTGGATAAGGAAAGGATGAGATATTACCCACAAGTACTTCAGACATCCATAGGACAGCAGTCTCCCAGAGATTTGCGCACCGGGAGACAAAGGAAAAAGCCATCATGTCTCAACCATGGCAGAGCCTATTAAAGGACATTGGGTTCCCTAACCTCACTTTCAAATCAGTTTTGGAAATCATCTATTTAATTATATTAAGGCTATTAGAGATCCTTGAAATGACAAGTTTCAAAAGCTACCTAGTGAGTTTAATCTTCATTCTTGAATAAAATAAATATTAACCATAAACTTAACAATTTAAGAAATTGTAAATAAATGGCAAAAAGCTAAATAATACTCTGATCCAAGAAAGTTATCAATGAATTAAAGAACCAGACAAACATAGAATATTTTGCTATAGGTTTTTGGAATGAATATATACCGTGTTTCCCCCCAAAATAACATCCACCCCAATAATAAGCCCTAGCCTGCTTTTTTGGAGTGTGCCTAATATAAGCCCTACCCTCAAAATAAGCCTGGGGGATGGGCATGGCCAGCACGAGAGGTGGCAAGTGCCAGGGGGGCGACGGTGTCTGGCAGGAGCCATAGCCCACTGGCCCCTTGGTGCAGCACAAATACCATTAAGTCCAAGTATGGTGGCAGAGGTGGGAGAAGAAGATAGGGGATCCGGATGTACTTCATGACTGCCTGACTCAAGGGAGGCTTGTGCGGCAGTACCAGCAGCAGGGAGAGGCAGAAGTGTAGGGGATGGGGGGAGACAGGTGATCCTAATGCCCCATGTGGGTGCCTGTTCAGCGTGGCTGCAGACAAGCTGAGAGATGGTGGGATGGAGTGGGCAGCACGTTGGGATCACCTCTCCCTCTGCCTCGTTCTGCTGTGCACTTTTCACCCAGAGGGAGACAAAGCTTTGTCTGCTTGCAATAACACCAGGTCTTATTTTCAGGGAAACATGGTTTATACACACATACATATACACATACACATACACATACACAAACACACACACACACAGACACAGAGTGAGGGAGGGAGAGGGAGAGAGATATTTTCATGGAAACTACATTGTTTTGTCTATCCAAAGTCATAACAGACATTCAGGACTTCAAGATTTTGGAAACTGATCACCAGAGGTCAGCAATTAAGTCTGTTCCTATGGATAGACTTATGTCCAAAAGATGTTAATGAAGGAATGACAGGTGTGAAAGAAAATATTTTGAGAAATTTACAGGATAAATAGATGGGGATTTTTTTTGCCTGATCTCCCCCCCTCCGTCTCTTGTCTCTCTCTTCCCCCCCTCTCTCTGTGTCTGTCTCTCTTTCCCCCATCTCTTGTGTGTGTCTTGTCTCTCTCTTTCTCCCATCTCTCTGTGTCTTGTTTCTCTCTTTCTCCCCTTTCTCTCTGTGTCTGTCTCTCTCTTTCCCCCTCTGTATGTCTGTCTCTCTCTTTTCCCCCTCTATGTGTCTGTCTCTCTCTTCCCCCCCCCATCTCTCTGTGTCTCTTGTCTCTCTCTCTCCCTCCCTCCCTCTCTCTCTCTGTCCCCAGGGGCGAGGGAAGGAACTTCTGAACTGGTGCTGGTTAGTGAGAATCTGACGTCCGGAGGCCGACGAGCCACGTACTGAAGAACAGATGGGGGCAATTCCGCAAAAATATCTTGTTGCTTGTAAGCACTTCTGGTTAGGAGGAAGAAGAGCATGGTGGGAGGAGGCCTGTCGGGTATCAGAGGGGCAGTGAGCATTTCGTGGCTCCTAAGGGGGATTTGGCCTCCCCGCTCACATCTTTGCCTGAGGGCATCGCTGGCAGCTGCTTCCTGAATTTCAGGAGGTCTGTGCTTTTCCCGCTGCTGCTCGGCCTCCTCGATGCACGAAGGCAGGAGGCGATGGTTTTGTTCACTACCTGCAAGCTCTGGTCAGCAAGCAGCCAAGCAAGCAAGCCAGCAATCTGCTGGCTGCCTCTAATCTGCAGTTTATTCGTGAGCACCATTGGCCTTTCTCCCTAACTCTCCTGGCCAGTGGTGCTCACGAGTAAACTGCAGCTAGGAATGTCAAATACGGCCAGGAATGAACATTTGTGTGGTAACCGCTGGCTGGAGCTACTAAATAGGTGGACAAACTAAGTGCCTGAAGGACCCCATCCTGTCACTGGGAGTCCAGGTGACTTGGCAATTGGCGAGCGGCTGGGCTCCTCAAGAGACAGAGTTCGTAGGGAACTGATCTACCACTGGCTACAACACAATCTTCATTCTCATCCATATTTGAGATTCCTAGGTAGGGTTGACTTTGGCAGCTTCTCTCTGCCGGAGTGCTCCCTGGATGTGGCTTAAAACTCTGAGCCCAAAGCAGCAGGAGGCACAGGCTCCTTGGTGCCATCAGCTTTGGGCTCTTAGGCGTCCATGGAGGATACACTCATATTGGCACCGAGTCCAGGGTCCCAGAAGGGTGCAGGCTAAGACTTTAGGGCTTTCTTTCTGCCTTGCAGAAGCAGAGATGGGCGGGAGGCCCCAGAGCACCCAGGGCACAGCACAGGGCGCAGGAGATTGCAGCCCCAGAGCACACAGACCACAGCGGGCGGGCAGCACAGCGCTCTCCCGAGGGTTACCGGCTTGCCCCTGTCCACCTCACTAGTCCAGTGGGTGATCTACTGCGTGCTTCCCTTCCAGGCAAGCCAGCTTCGGGAACCACATGGGGAGGCTCTGGGGATGTGATCTCCTGCACACTTCCCTTGCAGGCAAGCCGGCTTCGGGAACCACACAGGGAGGGCTCTGAGGCTGCTATCTCCCACAGGCTTCCCTTGCAGGCAAGCTGGCATCGGGAACCACATGGGGGGCGGGCTCTGGGGCTATGATCTCCTGCGCCCTTTCCTTGCAGGCAAGCCAGCTTCGGGAACCACACAGGGAGGGCTCTGATAGGATCAAGATTACAAGCATGGCAAATATTCTCTACACATTATGTCAGGATGTTCAAAATTAATTGAATCTATTTTGAGCATGTGGTGAAGTGTTCAATTATGACAAAACCACAGAAATGTCTGTGGAGTATACAATGACTTCATTACTTTTCATAATCATTTTAAAATTGCTCATCAGCTTTTCATTGTATTTTTTCTACCTTGGTTGTGGGTTTTGGTTTACATTCCAGGAGAAAAGATTCAAATCTTTCCCTTTCCAATCAAGCAAAAGTAAGTGCCAAAACTTTAAAGCAAATGCATCTACCTGTCTGGCTAAAGAAAGAGGTATGTTTAATATTGTCCATCAACTGGGTCTGGAATTTCTGCACCTGAGAACAGAAATCTTTACCCTCTGTTATGATATTTGATTGGTGGGCAAAACATAACAAGTGCTCATCATATGGATAGTCCTTGGCTTTCAAATGATCACTTAATAACTATTTTGCTGGACTCCCCAAAATCTATTTATAATCCATTTTTGAAATTACAGCAGCTGCACACCCCTCTGGGCATCTGATTGCATTTTGGGTACTTGGCAACTGACTCACCTTTATGGTTGTTTGCATGTCCCACGGCCTAATGACCATAATTTGTGACATTTTTTTATGGTTTCTGTCATTTACTTTTGGTTTCCAGTGAAAAATGCCCATGGTATTTGCTTAACCACAATATTTGCTTAATGCCTGCAGAATTCACTTAATAACCACCAAAACAATGTCAAAAATCAGATTTGCTTAAGTGATTCCCAACTTATGACTATAACAACTTGTAACTGTAATTCCAGGCTCAATTCCAGTTGTAAATTGAGGACCACCAGTAATATATCACATTCTAAAAATTTTGAAATTGGTAATGTACAAATCTTTTTGTTGCAATATAAAACTTCCTTTGAAATAGCAATTGTAGGAATGTAATATTGACTTGAATACCAGTGAACTGGTGGAAAGGTAAGATATATTTGTTTTTAAAAATGTAAAAATGATGCACTCTATTAAGTTCAGTATAGCATACTGTCTGAAAGTTTTCATTTTTAGTTAAGAGAAATTTAAAACAATCCTCTTAATTGATGCATTTCTTTGTGTAGAATAGCCAGAATAGTCCAGTACTGAGCAATCCCACCCTAGGACATTTCAAAAGGCTCAAAGTTGCAAAGGAAGATATAATGTGCTTTAAGAGAGCTCTCTATGTATTGGAAATCAAATACAGATAGTCCTCAATTTATGACAATTGAGCCCAACATTTCTGCTGCTAAGTTAGTTGTTAAGTGAGTTTTGCCCCCTTTTACAACCTTTCTTACCACAGTTGTTAAGTGAATCACTGCAATTATTCAGTTATTGACACCGCTGATAAATGAATCTGGCTTCCCCATTGATTTTGCTTGTCAGAAGATCGCAAAAGGTGATCACATGACCACAAGAATGGTCGTGTGAAAAATGGTCATAAGTCACTTTTCTCAGTACTGTTGTAACTTTGAATAGTCACTAAATGAACAGTTGTAAATCAAGGATTACCTGTAGATCTGTTTCAGAACATGTTTGGCTTTATATCTTCCAGTAAAGTTATTTAAAGTGATTCCAGTATAGAAAAATTTCAGAAACACAAATGCTTGAATGTATAGAAAATGTGTTAAACTTTGCATAAGTAGTAATTCATTGAAATTATCAAATAATCATTCTGAAGTTCAAAACAATAATTAAATCAAATGCAACATTTTTTGTACGTACGAGATCCTTCTGTTCTAATTTTCTGTGACGGTATACTAGGATCTCCTGTCCCTAAAATATTAGTGGCCATTATATGAAATTCATATTCCATCCATGGAATTAAATCAATAACTTTTGCTGATTCCGCATTTCCATCAACAATGGAAGGATCTAAATACAAACAGAGACAATAATTAAAAACAGCACTGCAACAAAAATCATATCCTAACATCTAATATTGGCTTGCTCAAGTGATTTTAATTGCTGAATAATCCAGTTTAATTCCTTGAATGAATACAGAAATATGGATGGAGAAATCTGTTAGGACGATTTTTCTGTTTTTCGTTTTGCCCATTTTGAATTGTTTTTGTTCATTTATTCAGCAGGTTGTAATTTTTAAAAACAAATATGTATAAAACACATTTATTTGAAAATAAGTTTCCTTTTTCTTAATAGCCACATTATTTAAAAGCTTCATTCTATATATGTGTTTATACATTTTTCACTAATGTAGGTGTTATTTTTGTACATTTCTACTGTATGCACCTTTTGGAAAGATGTGCAAAATTCTGAACAGTGTGAATATCAAGAGATATCTGCATTCATAGTTGCACATCCTTTAGGAAATACTTCATGGTATAATAATGGACTGATTTTTTTAAAAAAAATATAGTATTTAATGAGTAAAACAATTACTTGAAATATGAGTCAAACACATTGGCAATCAATGTGATTGGTGTAATGAATATTACACAAGAACCATTGCCCAAAGTATAACTAGTACTAAGATAATATTTAGTACTATTTGGCACAGTAGTTAGAATGCAGTACTGAAGGCTAATTCACTGCTCATTCCAGGAGTTTGATTCTGAACAGCTCAAGGTTGACTCAGCCTTCCATCCTTTCAAGGTCGATAAAATGAGGACCCAGATTGTGGAGGGCAATATGCTGACTCTGTAAAACCGCTTAGAAAGGGCTGTAAAGCACTATGAAGCAATATATACTGTAAGTCTAAGTGCTATTGCTATTTGTGCTTGCTGATATAACAAAATTGTTTTTTTGAAAAGCAGCCCTTTTCAATAGAAATTAAAATAATATTGTTTGGATATTACAAGCATTTTCTTTGATATTGCTCTTACACAAACATCCTATTAATAATAGTCTAGTACAGGGGTGTCAAACTCGATTTCATTCACGGCCGCATCAGGGTTGTGGTTGACCTGGGGCTGGGTGTGTGTGGCCAAGGTTGATGTGGCCAGGGTGGGCAGGGCCAGCCTCCCTCCTTCTCATTCCCATCTCCCTCCCTCCTTCCTTCCTCCCTCCCTTCTTCTCCTTCTCATCTCCCTCCTTCTGTCCTCCCCCCTCCCTCCCTCCTTCTCCTTCTCCTTCCCATCTCTTTCCTTCCTTCTTCCACCTCCCTTCCCTTTCCTGGGGGAGAAAGCAACTCCCCCACCACCACTTTTAAATGTGGACATTATCAAGAGCTAGGGATGCCCATTCAGATACCTGCTGCTCAGTGGTGGGTTTCAACATTTTTTGCTACTGGTTTGGTAGGCATGGCTAGGTGGGGGTGGGAATGTGACTGAGTGGGCATGGCCAACTTGACGTCACTCACGCCCACTCAGTCACATGACCCCCCCACCTACCCACACCCACAGGAAAAAGTAGGAAAATTTTTGGAATTTCCACCTATCTACCCCCGCCCTTCCTTCACCGGTCGCCCCCATTTCCCCTCCTTAGTGGCCCCGGTCCTAGCCCTCCTTCCTCCCCCCCCACTGCCACTTTGTTCAGGCTGATTACCTTCCGGAGTGGCTGGCCCAGAGTCCAGAAGGCAAGCTGACCGGTGTTTTCGGCACCTCCCCCAGCCAGCTGCCGCTGCTGGAAAGCGGCTGGCAAAGAAACCTCCCAGCCGCCTCCTCTTTGAAAGCTGCTTTGCCACAGCAAAACAGCTCTCAAAGAGGCGGCGACTGGCCACAGGCCACCAAAAAGTACTGGAGGTTGCGGAAAAAGCTGCTGCCATCGCCGCCATGTTCTTCATGCATGCGCATCCCATTGGATTTACAAGGCAATGGGATGCATGTGCACGAAGAATATGGCAGTGATGAACATGGTGGGCAGGGTGAGCGAGCGGTGACCAGGGGACTGGTTTGGGGGCATGGCCAGCCAGCCATTGCTACTGGTTCGGTGACCTTGGCCAAATTTCCGACAATGGTTTGTGCAAACCGGTGCGAGCCAGCTGAATACCACCTCTGCTGCTGCTTGTTTTTTCCCAAAAGAAAAAGAGAAATTGTCCATCTGTTCTCTACTCTACTTCCCATTTTTCATGTGTATCTCTCTTTCTCAATTTATATTCTACTTTGTCTAGGCTATGGTAGCTAATGTTGGTTATATATTTTAACCAATCCTAATTTTATAAATTGAGGCAGACATCTTACATTCATACAATATAACAATGGAACAAGTTAATGAGACAAAGCAGCAGAAGTGTGAACCCATTACACACATCTATTATTAAGTTGGATAGCTTTGAAGATCACCTGGAAGACCTTTGCTTGGGACAAGTTGATTATGAATGTACATTACAAACTGTAAAATGTACAGATGGGGGAGGGGATTTGCAAAAGAATCATAGCAGGGAGAAATAATTAATCCTTTTTAAAAGTAAGCCATAATTCTGGATTTACAACAGGCAGTTGCTATATTCTTATAACATATTACGCCCAAATAAACAAACCACACTTCACTCAACACATTTTGCTAATGCATGCTAAAAAAATGGCCAGGTACATACAACATGCTGAGCTATGCTTTTAGCTAGGCAAGTGTGCTATGGAAATACCACAATTTTGTCTTAAGATGTATAATTTAGCAAAATAATTGCTAATTTAGAAAATTATTTTGCTGCTGTTGCAATAATGAAATGTTTTATGACACTTAACGGGCTTGAGAAAATCATATGAAAACCTGCTAGACTTTGGACTTTGAAGTGCATTTCTAGTAGTTAGATGATTATTGAGCCTACAGGTTTGCCAAAAAGGCAAATACTACTGTGGGAAGCCACCCACCCTCCTAGAAGAATGAAATATTTTGGGAAATATTTTTTTAAAAAGGCAGGATAAAATATTTCAGCTAAAAGAGAAATAAAAAAACTTAAGGGAGACAAAAACTCAGAGGCCTAGCATCTTGCCCCCAGCAGATATTTTGTGCTCATTAAGAAAGACTGGACCAGCCTATCTACAAAACAAAAGACCTTCCACTCCAGGGTGAAGGGATTAAGATATGACCCTTGAGGACATAATAGGATTAACCCACTAAAACACAAAGCTCACTACATTGCACAATCTCCTAAGGACATTGCATCACTCTCAGAAACTTCAACCAAACTTAACTCAGACAATCTATAGAGCCAGCTATAACCCCTACATGGCCTAATGGGAGTCTGACAACAGCCAATAAAGTACATGTTCTTGCACAGGAACAGGAAGCTCAAGTGCAAAGCCCACGAGAAGGTATAAAAACCCCTCACTCTCAACTTCATGTAGTCAGCTGCCCAGAATCACATGGTGGTTCTGCTTCATCAATAAATGAACCCTCTTCCCAATCAACCTCCATTTTGTCTCCCGTGCCTTTCTCCTGGCTTGGAACTGAACCAGATGGATATTTTTTCCCACACTATCTATATAAACTCATTCATTTTGTTGTTGTTTCTACTTTGTAACACAGGGATCCTCAAACTACGGCCCGCGGGCCAGATATGGCCCGCCAATGCAAAGCATCCGGCTCGTGGAGTGGTGGGATTAAACCCCGCTCCCTTATTCTCGGCTTTATTTCCAGCGAGCATCCACTCCAGCCACACTTCTTTCACCGGTTGAGCTGCACTTCTGATCACACAGCTGCTGCTGAAGGTAAGGCCGAAGGGTGTGGGGGAGGGCCAGTGAGGGATGATATGAAAAGCTTTAAAAAGTACTGCCTTAAATTAAAAGCCTTTGAAAGCAATGTAAACGGATCTTTTTCACAGTTGGAATGGGGATTTTTTTCTTGTCTTTTCCTAGCTTGGAAACGGGCTGCTTTAAATTAAAAGCCTTTGAAAGCAATGTAAACAGGATCTTTTTCACAGTTGGAATGGGGATTTTTTTCTTGCCTTCTCCTAGCTTGGAAACTGGCTGCTTTAAATTAAAAGCCTTTTTCACAGCCATGTGAACCAGGGCCAGTGTTTGAGTAGGGGAGGGGCTACTTGTAAAGTAGCACTTTTAAAGTGGGTGGGTGGGGGATATGTCTCCATGTCTCCTAGCTTTTTCAAAATCAGCTGAAGTTGGCTAACACTAATTCAAAAGCAACACCATTATAATGCCTTATAATTCACCCACTGCTTTGATTTTGCAATACATAAAGTACATCCACTAAATCAGTTGCTGAACAATTTTGGTAGCTTTCATGTGTGTGGATACACAGGCACAAGTGTGGCAAAAAACAAATCAGTTTGAATTCTCCTTCAGGCTTAAAAGACCTTTAGTTTTGTAATCCCAAATAATTAAAAAAAAGTAGTCTGGTCTCTTATTCCTTCCCTGGCCGCCTCCCCTGTTGGCAAGTTCTCACAGGTCCTGCTGCTGCTGCTTGCAAAGAGCCCCAAAGGCTTTGGCTGGAACCAAAGGGGAAGGAACCAGGTGGGACCATAGAGAGGAGAAGGGAGGGGAGGTGCATTCTCTCAGCCTGTCATTACTTCTGTGCTATAGCGATCCCTATTTTTTGTAGCTCTGTATTTATTGGTATCTTACTAATAGCAATTTTGCATCCCTAGGAAACATGTCAAAGAAAAGAAAAATTGACTCTGAGTGCAGGATCTTCAAAGAACAGTGGACTTACGATTACTTTTTCGTGCAGTACAAAGAAAAAACTGTTTGTCTGATATGCCAGGATTTAGTGACTGTGTTCAAGGAATACAATTTGCGTCGACACTATGAGACTCGACATAAAGACAAATATGATTGTTTGGTCGGACAAGCAAGAAAAGATAAAAATATTAAAACTGAAAAATGGATTGATAATGCAGCAAAATGCTTTTGTGAAGCAGAAGCAGGTAAATATGTCATCACTGCAAGCAAGTTTTCAAGTTGCCAATTGTAGAGGGAGAATTTGTTAAAGAATGCCTTCTTTCTGTTACCAAAGAGATGTGTCCAGAGAAGGCTGATTTGTTTAGTACAGTGAGTCTTTCAGGACCTACAATCACAAGAAGGATTGAAGAAATGGGGGACAATTTGATGAATACTTGCATCACTTGTTACGACTGGCAGTGATAAATATGGAACCGGACATTGACTTTCTCATCAGCCAAAAACAGGCCCACACTTCCCATTGAATTAGTATATTTTTGTTGGTTAAAATCATTCTTCATTTTAAATATTGTATTATTTAACTTTTTTTTGCACTACAAATAAAGATATGTGCAATGTTCATATAAGTTTGTTTATGTTTGTTTCAAACTATAGTCTGGCCTCTAACAGTCTGAGGGACCATTATCCCTCCTTAATTCACAATTGGATGCTTGGTGGGGGGGGGTGTTGTGTTGATTCTCGCCTTCTGCCTGCTTCCAATGTCTCTCAATGCCCATCTTGGGGGTTTTAGTTGCAGTCTTAATTGCTGCAGTTCTCAGTCTTGTTTATTGTGTGGTCATCTGAAACATGATCAGGAGTCATTTTGAAGGAAATCCTGTTCGTTTTATTCCTTTTTCAATGGACTATTTTAAGGAGCCTGAAGCAGCTGTTTTGTTTTTTTTTAATTTGATTTATATACTGCCCTTCTCCGGAGACTCAGGGCGGCTTACAATGCGCTAAGCAATAGCCTTCATCCTTTTGTATATTTATACAAAGTCAGTTTATTGCCCCCACAACTGGGTCCTCAATTTACCTACCTTAGAAAGGATGGAAGGCTGAGTCAACCTTGAGCCTGGCGAGATTTGAACCTGCAGTAATTGCAGGCAGCTGGTCTTAATAACAGGGTGCTTTAGACCACTGTACTACCAAGGCTCTTATAATGTAGTTAGGCAAGTGGCAAGAAAGTTTGTGCTCTTTTTCCCTTTGGGGGGTGGATCTTATTAAATAAATAATAAGAGGTATAATAATAATTCCTTGGCTTGAATAAGAACATCTTAGGAAGGAGAAAGGCATAAAATGGACAGTTAAATTGGCCACGCCCACCCAACCACATGACCACCTAGCCATGCCCACCCAGCCAGTTCGGGCCCCCAACAGTCTGAGGGACTGTGAATCGGCCCCCTGTTTAAAAAGTTTGAGGACCCCTGTTGTAACACATTATCAGGAATAATTAAAACACTGTTCTGCTAAATGAAACTATATCAAGAATGTTAGTTTATTATTTAGGCTCCAAGCTAATATTTTTTATAAGATTCTTACCTGTTTTCATGTCTTTCCAATACTCGGACAAAAAAGTCCTTGACTGAATAGTGTAATTTGATATAGGACTATGATTTTCTATCCCACGGCTCCATGTAAGAATTACAGATGTATTTTTAATGTCTTCTACTTTGAGTCCACCAGGGGGTCCTGGGGGACCTGAAAAATATTTCCATGAAAAATTATGACATAATCTTGTCAAAAAGTGAACCAATGTTTTAAACTGTATCATCATATTTACCTGAGTTAAATTATTTCATTACAACTTTCTGTAATCTACTATTCTCACATATTAAAATTTAATCTGCAAAATCTCAGGTAAGATGGCCAAATGAAATGTATACTAAATATACTAAATAAATATTAAATACTAAATAAATAAATAAATAAAATAAATAAATACTAAATAAATAAATATAAATAAATAAAAATAGGGAATACTAAATTGGAAAGGGTATTTTATAAAGTAACATCATAGTTTTGGTCTCATACAAATCTCATACACTGGTGCGAGCAGACAGTGGGGGCGGTATGTGAATGGCAGGCATGCGTGTGCAAATCTCCATTGGTGTGAGTGGCGCATGCGCACACCCTCTACTCATGCAAATGGAGCTTCGCATGCAAGCAGAGGGTGCTTGCGCTCGTGCACAAAGCTCCATTGGCATGAATGGTGAGCATGAGTGGCAGGCATTTGTGCTCGCGTGCGAAGTTCACCTCGCAAGAACAGAGGGAGCTTGAGCTTAAGGTGCTCGTGGCGAAGCTTCATTCATGGGAATGAAGCATCACACATGAGCACTCTCTGCTTGCATGAGGGGAGCTTCGCCTGGGTTGAACTTCACACGCAAGCTCAAGTGCCCTCCTCTCAAGCACCCTTCACTCGTGCAAATGGAGACTTCTTTATTGCAAAAGTTTTACGATTACATTTTCACCCCTTTTCTCCCCCACCCCCCCAAACTTCCCAACCTCCCTAACCCTCCCTAACCCTCCCCTCCCCCAGACTTCCCTATAATATACTCATACTCATAAAGAACCCTAATATCACACTTATATATAAACTTGAACCCCTCCCTCCCCTATATAATTTTTCTCTTTACCTCATTACATTAAAAAATTTCCAATACATTATTTTCAAATAAAAGCTATTTGATACTTTCTAGTTTGATATTTGTTCTGAACATATTCTATCCACTTTTTCCATTCCCATTCATAAGTCTCTTGTGAACAATCTTTTAAATATGCTGAAATCTTCGCCATCTCTGCAAAACTGGCCATCTTCAAAGTCCATTCCTCGATAGTGGGCAAAGCTTCATTCTTCCAGTATTTACCTATCAACAATCTTGCTGCTGTTATCATATACAATATCAATTTTGTTTCACCCAATTTAAAACCCTTAACTATACCCAATAAAAACAGTTGTGGAGAAAATTGAATTTTTTTCTTCAAAACATTCTGCATGACCCACCAAATTTTTATCCAAAAAGCCTTAACTTTCCTACAGGTCCACCAAACATGATAATACGTAGCATCCGAACATTCACATCTCCAACATTTTGGCTGAACATTAGGGTACATACATGACAACTTTTTGGGATCTAAATGCCATCTATAAAACATTTTGTAGAAATTTTCCCTCAGATTCTGCGACTGTGTAAATTTAACATTCTGAACCCAAATTTTTTCCCATGTTTCCAGCATCACTGGTTCTTCAAAATTCTGTGCCCACTTAATCATACAGTCTTTAACTAATTCGGTTTCTGAATCTCTTTCTAGCAAAACATTATAAAGCCTTTTGATATGCATTGGACCTTTCTCTCTTATATGTCTAACCAATTCTTCCTCATGCAACATAATACCAGTTTTTTGGTCCTCTTTCCATCTCAATTGTAATTGATTATATTGTAGCCAAGTTAAATTAATCCCTTCGTCCAACAGTGTCTGCAATGTCTTCAGCTGCCATCTACCCGCATCTGTAAAAAGAACCTCTTTATATAAAACCCCCCCGAGTGACATTATATTTGTATTCCACAAAGTATGACCAAGATCCAGCCATAGCGGTATTTTATAATCCCATTTGAGTCGGTGCTTCTTCCAAACTCTCATCAAAGAATCTCTAAGTATATGACTTTTAAATACTTTATCTACTTTGTCGTCGTAAAATAAGTAAGCATGCCATCCAAATTCAAGATCAAAACTTTCTGCATTCAATATTCCAGTCTTTTTCCTTCCAAACCAATCACTTGTTAAAGTTAAAGCTGCTGCATCATAATATAGCTGTAGGTTTGGAAGTTTAAGACCTCCTCTTTCTGGAACATCTTGCATAATTTTCAATTTCACTCTCGGCTTCTTCTCGTTCCAGACAAACTTATTCACTCCAGATTGCCAAACTTTCAATTGTTTATCACTTTTAAGCACTGGAATCATTTGAAACAAAAAAAGAAATCTTGGCAAAATATTCATCTTAACTGCTGCTATTCTTCCAAGTAGAGACAGCTGCAGTTTTTTCCAAGTCTCCATATCTTTCTGCACCTCTCGCCACAACACCTCATAGTTATTTTGAAACAATTTCATATTTGATTCTGCAACCTGAACTCCTAGATATTTTACCTTAGGTACAGTCTCAAAACCTGCCCTCCTTTCAAGCTCATGTTTACGATCTTGTGTCATGTTTTTAGCTATCATTTTAGTCTTTTTTGAATTCAGTCTAAAACCTGAAACTTTACCATAGTCTTGTATAATGTCCTTCATCAAGATTATTGATTCCATTGGTTGTGATAGGGTAACAACCAGATCATCTGCAAATGCCTTTATTCTGTAATCCTCTTGCCTAATCTTTATACCTTTCAAGATATTAGAGTCCCGTATTGTATTTAACAAGACTTCTAGTGTTAAAATAAATAAAAGTGGGGACAACGGACATCCCTGTCTTGTTCCTTTTTCAATTTTAAACTCTGTTGTCAGACTTCCATTAATAATGATCTGTGCCTTTTGCTCTTGATAAATTGCCGAAATCGCCTGTATAAATTGATCCCCAAAGTCCATCTTTTTCAAAGTCTTTAATAGAAAATTCCAATCCACTCTGTCAAAGGCCTTCTCTGCATCCAAGAAGACCAGCACTGCAGGGATCTGTTTATTCTTCTCAAGATATTCCAATAAATCTATTACTTGCCTTACATTGTCCTTCATATATCTGCCCTCGATAAATCCCGCTTGATCATCATGAATCACCTTCTGAATTACTGGCATCAACCTGTTGGCTAGTACTTTCGCAAAAATTTTATAATCTGTATTCAAAAGAGATATTGGTCTATAGTTCTCTGGTTTTTTAGGACCGATTTGTTCTTTTGGTATCAAAGATATGTAAGCTGTTGTCCATGATGGGGGTATTTTACCCCCTTGCTGAATATTGCAAAATAAATCTCTAAGTTGTTCCACCATTTCAGCTTGCAAAGTTTTGTAATACACTGCAGTCAAGCCATCCGTACCAGGAGCTTTGGCTGTTTTTAACTGTTTAATTGCTACTATTATCTCCTCCTCTGTTATAGGATAATTCATTCTTTCCTTTTGTTGATCAGTAATTTTTGTAACTCTTTTATCGTTTAAATATTTTTCTATAAGTCCATTCTGCACCTCCTCTTTGGCATATAATTTAGTATAATAGTCCACAAAAGCTTCTTTAATTAATTTTTGTTGAAAGATTTCTTTCCCTCCAATATCAATACTATCAATAGTCCGTATTTTTTCCTCAATGTGTAAGCCAACCATCTGCCCGGTTTATTAGCGTTACAAAATGTGTTATGCTTCGCATATTGTAAGTTTGTTGCAACTTGTTCCGCCATAAGCATTTGAAATTGGTCTTTCAAAAGTTTTATAGCACTACGTATTCTTTCATCTGTTGGATTTTTAATAAGTAACTGTTCTTTATTCTTTATTTCTATTTCCAGTTCAGATCTTTTCTTTTGTCGGAACAGTCTATGTTTAGAGTTCATGTAGATAAGTACCCCTCTCATATAAGCTTTACTTGCATCCCACACAATTTCAATTGGGGTACCTTTATTCAAATTTATTTCAAAAAATTCTTTCAAATGCTTTTTAAGTTCTGTTATATTTTTTTCATATCTAAACAAATTCTCATTTAATCTCCAAGAACGTCTCTCAACCTTGTCCATCTCAATTTCTATCCATACTGGGCTATGGTCAGTCAAAGTTCTTGGAAAAATCTTTGTTCTTTTTGTCTTAACAAGTAAATCATCTGTCAACAAAATAAAGTCAATCCTAGAGAAGGATCTGTGTCTGTCAGAAAAAAAAGTATAGTCCAGTTCTTTTGGATTATGTATTCTCCAAACATCTTTTAGTTCCATATCTTCTTTCATGTCAAAAAAGGTCTGTGGTAATCTGATTCTAGACTTTGCCAAACTCTTTTTATCTAATTTAGAGTCGATTACTCCATTCCAGTCTCCCATAATTAAAATAGTTCTGTAATCCCATTGCAATATTTTAGTATGTAACATCTTATAGAAATAGTCCTGTTGTTGATTGGGAGCATAAATCCCAATCAGAAGAATTTGGCCATTTGATATAGACAATTCAATTGCTACAAACCTACCATCTTCATCTGTTTCTATAACTTTAGCTGTTAACTTTTTATTTACATAAATAACCACACCATTCTTTTTTTGCGAAGTTGAAGATATAAAATGTGTTCCTAGTTTGGAGTTTATCAAATATTTTTGATCTTGAGTTGTGATATGCGTTTCTTGTAAACAAATTATATCATTATTAAATTGTTTCAAATATGTAAATAATTTCTTCCTTTTCTGTGCTGAATTCAACCCATTAACATTCCAGGATAAACACTTAAGCATCATCAGCCTCTTTCTGGAGCAAAGAGCAAAATAATTGAAGATCATCCGAAAGCTTCGATCTCGCTCCTCCCATAGCTCCAATCTCTTGTGCAGTACTCTTATCTGCCTCCTTGTCTTGTCTTTCCTGTTGTTGTTGTTGCTTTTGTTTAAGTAACTTAGCTTGAGCTCGAGTTATACGTTGATCCTTAACTTCAATCATCCGAGCCGGGTCCAAGATTGGAGAAGATTCCAGCAAGGGCTCATCCAGAAAACCTCCTTCTGCACCTTGCACTTCTTCTAATTCCTGCTTAAACTGTTCTTGCAGTTCTCGTTGAGGTTGCTTCTCTTCACTCTCTTTAATCTCCAAAACTGTAGATGTACGTGGGGATGGTGTTCTTTCCTTGAGAATAGTAGTGTAGAAGTGCTGTGCCTTCTCCACGGTATTCAAACGGTATCTTTGTCCCTTGTATCTGAAAATTATGCCAACTGGTGCGTCCCACCGGAAAGGTATCTGTAAATTTTGCAATTCCTTAACGAGAAAACCAAATTCTTTTCTAGCTTTCAGCATTTTAGGAGGTAATTCTTTATAAATTCCAATTCGTGAGCCCCCCACTTGTACTGAAGTGTAAAAGGATTTTTGCAGGATATCATTTCTTATTTCTCTATCTGTAAAATATATGACTACATCTCTGGGTAATTGTCTTTGTCTGGCCACCCAAGAGTTCACTCTGTAAATTTTGTCTATTTTGTGAAAAACCACATCTGGATTAACTTGTAAAATCTTAGCCAGGGCCTCAGAACAGACTTGTCTCAAATCCTGTCTTTCCTCCTCTCGAATTCCTCGAATCTGTATAGCAAACTCCATTGCCCTGAATTGTATCATGACAATCTCATCTTCAACTCTCTGCATTTTATTGTCAACATCAGCAATTTTATAATCATTGTCTTTCATCTTAACATTAACTTCTGATTTAAATTCTTCAACTTTAAAATCAACTTTCCCAATAAATTCTGCCAGGCCAGATGCCACTTCTGATATTTTTTTGGTCACCTTGTTTTGATTCTGTTTCACCATATCTTTAACTTCATTAATTTCCTGCATAAATTCCTGGTGTGATTTTTGAAGTTTGTCATCTATCCCCTGATGTGATTTTTGAAGTTTATCATCTATCTCCTGTTGAGATTTTTGAAATTTATCATCCAAAGTTTTAGAAATAAATTCTTTTAAATCTCCCACATCAAATTCTTCTTTCTGGGTCTGTAACTGCTGAGCAGGGGGAAGTTGCGTTTCATGTTTATGTGTGGGGGATCCCCCCCCTGTTGCCTTCCCTTCCTGCTTCTTTGAAGCCATCCTGCCACGTGATCTAGTTTTTCTAAAGAGGGAAGTTCCTTTTCCTTTCCCTCCTGCACAAAGACTTCTTAAAAAGTCCCCCAGATTTGATCAAATAAAGGTTGAAGTAAAGCAAAGTCAAATTTTGAAAGGGAGAAATTTTCCAATTGTTTCTCTTATAACAAGCAAAGCAACTTTGTAGCAACTTGGAAACTTTATAACAAAGCAAAATAACTTCACCAATCCACACTCGCTGGCTCGTTAACTCTGAGGCTAAACGCCATGTTTTTTCTAAGCACTTTCACTCATTCGCATTTTCTCAGGTTGAAAAGTCAACAAAGCGTTTCCAAGATTCAGGATTCAGATAGTTTCACTGTTGATTAAAGCTGGTTCTTTCGCTTTAAGTTTCCTGCAGCCGGCTTGTTCTGCAAAGGCAGACTCGTCCCACGTCGCCCGGAGTTTCAGCAGGTTGGGAGGGAGCCACGCCTATTCTCTCCCCAGAAGCTTCCCTGGGGGGTTACAGGGGCTCGACCTGTGCCCTGCGATCTCTCCTTCTTCAATCCTACGGATTTAGAAGTTTTCGAGCCGCTTCCTCGTCTCGGAGCGGCTCTACGGGCGGCGGGGCTGGCGGAGCTTCAAAAGGCGCCGCCGTCGCCGAAGACAGGGAAACCAGAAGCCCCAAATGGAGACTTCATGTGCAAGTGCAAGTGCCCTTTGCTCTTGCGAGTGGAGCTTCATGCATGAGCGCAAGCGCACTCCTCTTGCACTCAAAGTTCCATTGGCACGAGTGGAGGGCGCGCATGCCAGCCACTCATACCAATGGAGCTGTGCATGCACATCTGCCTGCCACTCCCACGCCCATCCCACGCCGGGTCAGGTTGGAGACCGCTATCTTAAAATGCAGAATATGATCTCTTTTTCTTGAATCCCATCTCTTATCTATAAACAAATCCTTACAGCCTCAGTGTTTCATTCCTGATCAGGAAAAATCCATTAAGGGTTACCAGAGATACCAACATATCTATTTTAACCTTGATCAGGTATGTCAGTTTTATATTCCTTCCTATATTTTCTTCTAATGATCTTTAACTTTAGTCCACTCAAATAATGTCCTAGAACTTGATTTACTTTCATTTTTGTTTATTCCTTCTCACAAAATTTTTCAAAGCTTTAATAAACTTATTTTGTAAATCCATTACAGGAAAATATGTAAGTCACTCCATTTATTATTTGTATATCCCTTCAAATATTAAGACATCAGATGCTTTCTTTTAAATGTCCAGCGCAACATCTTTTTCCATGTCATTCTTGTACCCTATCTTCTGTAAATCAACTTTCTTGTCAGGTAGAATATGTTCCCTTTCCATAACATCTCTTAAACTTAGTCTTTCCATTGAAGCAGATGTTTCTGTGGGCACTATTAAAATTAACTTCTGAGTTGTTGTTCAAAAATATTAATCAATATGTCCAATGTTAAAATATTTTGCTTCATTCTGTAATTGTAGAGTTTATGAGTTCTTTGTAATTTTTGTAGTTGTGATATTTAGTTCTCTCTATTCTCTGATTTTTAAATTTTCATTTTAGTTGTCGTTAAAGAAAATTCAAAACAAAAGCATTTTCCCATAGGAGGAATTTTTTACAATTAAATCCAGAATCTTATATCAAATTTATTTGGATCCTTAGTCCATTTTTTACTTTTTGAAATTAAAAGATAACTTTTTTGCTGCTTATCGGCTCCTAAATTTTTTAAAGTTCTTAAACTTGTAAGTAACTTCACTAAAGATTGAAAAAACAGTGAAGTAAAATGTGTGGTGTGATGGGACGCAGTAGCTCAGTGGCTAACACACTGAGCTTGTCGATCAAAAGGTCGGTAGTTCAGCGGTTCAAATCCCTAGGGCCGCGTAACGGGATGAGCTCCTGTTACTTGTCCCAGCTTCTGCTAACGTAGCAGTTTGAAAGCACGTAAAAAATGCAAGTAGATACAACAATACAACATACAAAACAGAAAAACATCAATCAAGTCTTACGACTTGCTCTTAAAGCTATCACATCGGTAGACTGTTTTAATTAATAAAAAAAAACTTATCCTTTAAAAAAAATGCAAGTAGAAAAATAGGGACCACCTTTGGTGGGAAGGTAACAGCATTCTGTGCACCTTTGGTGTTTGGTCATGCTGGCCACATGACCACGGAGACATCTTCGGACAGTGCTGGCTCTTCGGCTTTGAAATGGAGATGAGCATTGCCCCCTAGAGTCGGGAATGACTAGGAATGACACAGGTAAAGGTAAAGGTTCCCCTCGCAGATATGTCCTAGATCTGCAAGGGAATCTTTACCTTTACCTAAAATGTGTGGATCCAAAATTTTCTAATAATTTTACAAGAGTTTCAGTTTTAAAAAGTTATTAGAAGAAGTATGCAAAGTTAGTGTCCTTTCAAGGATGCTAACCATGGTTTGAACAAGATGGCTATTTCCTCATCTCCCCGAGTTCTAAACTTGGCTGCTGTCTTATTGTCTTTGTGAGGGCAGCTATCTGGAATACTTGTAGGTGATATCAAGTCCTCTTTTTCTGGAGTAGAATTATCAGAGAGATGATCTACTCGCCAGTTCTTCATTCCACCTCAGTTGCCGACTCTGATTTTTGTAGAGCTGTCTTTAGTCCATCAGGTCTTTCTCTTGAAACACAACTGGAATAAATGTTCAAAGTTCTTTCCAAATTATTGGAAGTTGGAAAGTGAAATATAATTGCTTCCCTTTGTCATATTTCTAGGGATGATTAATTCTGGGAACAGGATCTGATTCTTATATGTTAATTCCTGTTGGAAATCCTGTACACCCTCCCACCCACCCCAACTTTATGTGATAGTGTTATAATGAATAATGTGGGAATAGCTTAATTTTAAAAAATCAAGAAAATATTTTACCTCTCACAACAAGATCAGCTGAAGCTGTGGCATTATCAACAATTGTCTGAGCAACACAAGTGTATCTTCCAGCATGTCGCAACTGAGCATTCTTGACAATAAGTTCACCATTGTCTTTTATCTACAAATCAGAAAAAAAATCTGTAACAGTCCTTTAAATTTAAATTTCATATAGAAGTCAAAATACTCCTAAAAATAAATCAGTAAAATGAATAAGACATCTATTTCTGAACTGCCTATGGCTCTTAAAAATAATATAAATATCCTTGATATCAATTAATTATATTGTATTTAAGATACATATTAAAAATTGTGAAATCAGATATCACTTTCAAAGTCAGTAATATTTAATCTTACAACATAAATTGTTATTATGTATCAATATAATAATTTGTATTATGAACAATAAAATGGCTTTTAAAATCATTATCTCCCCTTTTTTGCAGAATACCAATCTTTAGTATTTGTATTACTTGCTGCAAGGAACATACTGACATAGTTAAAGTTTTATTTCTGTAGCTGTCTCTCAATTACAATCTACTTAAATGTATGGAAGTAACCTTAAATCCAATACTGACCATTCAATATTTGGAAACAGAGTAATCAACATTTATAATTCATAGCCATATAAAAATTATAGATTGCCCCAAAATATATTGCTTAAATATGCATTTTAATAAGGTCCTCAATCACATTCTCATATATATAAAAGAATATTTAGAAATGTGGCAAAATAAAGCATATTTTAACTATTATTCTGGAATAGTTAATTTTTTGCTTATTCTTAATTCATTCCAGATTATTCATTTATTTCAAGGTATTCAGGATCCTAGTGAGGAACAGGAAAATAAAAGATCTTCTGGGGTTATTACAATGTTCATTTAAAATGTGTTTATTGAAGCATTAGAAAAGAATACAAAAATGATTTTTGGAGCACATTTTTAAAAAACCTTTAACACAAGGAGTCTTAATGTTTTTCAACAGTAAAAAGTGAAGTTACCTCAGTAATCTACCATGTCCAGAATATAAATGTTCATTCATGAGGCAACCATGTTCTGTTTGGCACTATATTTAAATCAGCCTATGTTTTCCAATTATGGTGTTCAAGTCAAGCCAGTGTTCCTCATTAAGTAAAGTTTCATGATATACATCAAACATTTTCCCAATGCATTTATTTTTTTAAAATCAAAATGCACAGATAAAAACATGAGCAATTCTGATACTGGTATTCTGAGTACCTGATCTGAAGCATTAAAAGAAGCTCCTGGGCATCCATTAGATACATTGGGAGAGACAGCTGGAGAATACAAAGTAAAGCAATGCAGCACTTCAGATCTGCTGTTTCAAGGGAGAACATCCTTGCTTAAGGAGCAAGGTTTGAAGGTTGTTTGGCTCAAGCCATGCATTTAAAAAAAATAAGAATTCTCTATGGGAGTTTTCCTCCTTTGGAACAGCTTATCCTCTATGGCAGGGGTGTCAAACTTCCGGCCCATTGACCAGATGCATCACTCACTGGCCACGGCCATGCCCGTATAGCAAAGGGGAAAAAAGTCCTGATACGTCACGTGACACTGCTGTGATGATGTGAGTTTGACACCCCTGTTCTAAGGCAAGAGTACATATGATGACCTCTTCCAAACTTCACAACTGTGGTTGTTCCAAAAGTTTTTATAACTAAATTTTCTATTATTTTTGCATAGGAAAATCCAGCCCTGGAGTCTTTGGGCTTGGATGGGCTTTTGAAGAAATCAACAGAGAATATTTACGCAGGAGGATAGTAAGTAATCTGTCAAGTTTCCATTTCGCAAGAATGTCATAATAGTCAGATGATCCAGTGGTAATTGTTCATGCAGAATTCTAAACACACAATATGATGTGTTTTTTTCCTCTTTTAATTTATTTCCATATGATAGTTCTGAAGAACTATCATTTATTCCTAACATATAGGAATAAATTAAAAGAGAAAAAAATGTATGAACCATTGTGTAACTAGGTGAGTCATATGGATGTATGAATCAAAAACTAATTTAATGTATTAATCAAAAACTAATCTCAATTCTGTAGGATAATATACAGTATGTTCTATATTATAATTTATTTTCCTGTATTAGGAAATTCTAGTTCTTATCATAAGTCCAGCAGACATGTTGCAACCCACCCACCCCTTGAAATTCCATCACAATAAATATGCCTGCCCAAGGTCTAAGCTTAGGTTCAAATCTGCACTGTAACCACTGTTTTACTGTTTTACTGTTGAGTTAAATGGGGAAGTGATTTTTCAAAAAAAAAAAAAAAAGTGGTTGAAAAGAAGGGATACCTTCTATGTATAGTCCTGAAAATTGGACAACCCCAAGAACAGAAAATAAACAGTTGCGCATTAATTAATATACAGATTGATTCTCAGTTAATTAATTTATGCTATTTGTATATGCTGGTTCCACATAGACTCCCAGTGGTTTATATAAACACACATACCGTGTTTCCCTGAAAATAAGACCCAACCAGAAAATAAGCCCTACCATGATTTCAGACTGCTCGTAATATAATCCCTACCCCAAAAATAAGATCCAGCTAAAATTGTCAGCCAGATGGACGCATTTACATTAGTATTGTGGTTGCCCAATGTGTGTGTGTGTGGCCAGCTCAGTGTTGCTCGTGTTCACCTGTGGGGGGGAGGAGGATTTCTTTACCCTCCCTTACCTTCTTTTCTCCCTGAACATTTGCTGCTTGGCTCTTTCGGCAACTACAGAAGGGTCTGAAAGGGAAGAAAGTGCCTCCTCAGTCATCTGTTCTTCCCCAGATTGATTTCAGAAGCCCCGGTTGCTGCCTGGATGGCCCTGAGGCCCGGCTGCTGGGCCTGTTGCACCTGCTGCTGCTGGGGGCTGTTCTTTGGCAAGGCTGATGAGCGGCAGTGGGAGCAGCTCCCTGTACTGGCTGTGTGGCTGCTGCACAACCTGCCTGAGCTCAGCTCTGACCACCACCCTGCTGCTCTCGTGGTGCCCATGGACCAAGCTCTTGGTGCACCTGGCCTCTACCCACCCTGCCTGCTGGCCCTGCTGCTGCTGGGATACTTTTTGGCTGCAGAAGCCGCCATGTTGACTGCCGAGCAGCTACCCATGCTACTGCTGGCCTCACAGGGTCTCTTCACCCTCCTGGCTGTACTGCTCTCGGCCATCCTACTGGGCTGCTCCTGCCTGGCATAGGGCGAATCAGTTCACATCTATGACTTCCGGAGTGTCCCGCTGGCTGCCGGCTGGCCAGGGCCCCTTTGCCAGTGCCTGCTGGTGGAGCCATGCTGGCCACACTGCCTTGGCCACTGCTGACTTGGGCTGCTGAGTGCCAGCCTGCATGCCTACTTGCTGCAGGCTTTGGGCTATGGGCTGAGCCAGGCACTCTTCAGGCTCTTTGGGGCATGCTCCGGTGGGTGCTGCAGCTCTCATGCCAGCTATGTGAGGCAGACGTGGGGCTGCACCTGGCCGCCTTCCGGCCTCTACTTCACTTATTATTATTATTATTATTATTAGTTCAATTTATATGCCGCCTTTCTCAGGGCAGCTTACAATGCATTTTAAAAAAAATTATAAAAACATTTAAAAATTAAAACATTAAAACCCATTCACAACATTCATGTCCGGATCTCACAAGATCGCAACAGTGAGATCAACGGCCCCAGGCCTGCCGGAAAAGCCAGGTCTTCACCGCTTTTCAGAAGGCCAATAGAGTAGGGGTGGTCTGGACCTCAGGAGGTAACTGGTTCCAGAGAGCTGGGGCAGCCACAGAGAAGGCCCTCCCCCACGGGCCCGCCAGCTGGCTTTGTTTAGCTGATGGGACCCAGAGGAGACCAACTCTGTGGGATCTTACTGGTCACTGGGAGCTATGTGGTAGAAGGCGGTCTTGAAGATAACCTGGCCCTGAGCCATGTAGGGCTTTAAAGGTAATAACCAACACCTTGAATTATGCCTGGAGACCAATAGGGAGCCAGTGCAGCTCGTGGAGAATTGGTGTAATGTGGATGTATCTAGGTGCATCTTGTGGCTGTTCTGTTGCTGGTGACTGCCATTGCCTCTCCTTCCACCTGGCAAGGATGACGAGGTGAGGCAGGTGACATGGTTGGGTTGAGCTGCCTCCCTCCGCCTGCCAGACACCTGCTGAAGCCATTCAGAGCAGGGCAGGGGTGCACTGCCTGGCCTGCGGGGTGCCTGGGACAGCTTCAACAGGAGATAGTCAGACTGGCTGTGGACCATGGTCTGCTTCTCATGCTAGGTCAGCGCCCAGTGGAGGCTGCTGGGTAGCATCTGGGGCTTAGCAGCAGGCCAGGCCAGGCAGAAGGTGAGGCAGCAGCCACAGGTGAGATAGAGGCTAAAGGCAGCCAGGAACAGGGCCTGCAGGCTGGCGCTCAGCAGCCCGAAGATGGTGGCAGGTGAGGTGACACAAGTTTATTTATTTATTTATTTATTTTATGCAATTTATATGCCGCCCTATCTCTGAGGACTCAGGGCAGCTCACAACAGTAAAATGCATAATTCCTATTAAAACGATATAGAGTTAAAACCCAGTTTAAAACAGTTTAAAATTCATTAAACCCCCCCCCCCCCATCAGTCCAGGCTATGGAACAACCAGGTCGTCAACTCGCAGCGGAACAAACGAAGGTCAGGGGCCATCCGGAGCTCCAACGGAAGTTGGTTCCAGAGGGTGGGTGCGCCCACAGAGAAAGCTCTCTCCCTGGGGGTCACCAGCCGACACTGTCTGGCCAACGGCACCCTGAGGAGGCCCTGTCTGTGGGAACGCACCGGGCGATTGGGGATTGTCGCTGGCTGCAGGGGGTCCGACAGGTATCCCGGGCCTAGGCCATGAAGGGCTTTATAGGTGATAACCAGCACCTTGAACCTCACCCGAAGGGCAACCGGTAACCAATGCAAGCCGCGCAGGAGGGGTGTAACATGGGAGTGTTGGGACGCTCCCATCACAACCTGCGTGGCCGCATTTTGCACCAGCTGAAGCCTTCGAGTGGTCTTCAAGGGCAGCCCTAGGTAGAGAGCGTTGCAGTAGTCAAGACGGGAGGTGATCAGCGCATGAGTAACAGTGCGTAGGGCATCTTGGTCCAAGTAAGGGCCCAACTG